ATGCAACCACCCCTATGCACGAATTTTTGTTCAATATTTTTCAATGAAAACAAATGTTTATCTTTTAGTTATTTGAATTCACCTGATCAGAATTCTATATAAATAAGTATTCTATATATTCCACCTATGATATAAATATTCTATATATTAGTATTTCTGCTTGTGAATTATTACAAGATATATAAATATATTTTTGATAGGTAAAAACTTTTTTAAATTGAACTAGCTGCACATTATAATTTAATTTACTTACTTACCATGTTTCCTCACTTAAACCCCAACAGGATTTATTTTTAAAATGTATAAATTCTCCAGGGTTTATTTGAAGACTTAGATTTATGAAATTCAAATAAACCTCTTGAGACAGGAATTTATTTTTAACAGTACCTTTATTTTGCAGTTTAATTGAGGAAATACAGTATGAATGCATTAAATTTGAAAGTTAAAATGTAATACTTTAAATATTTATTTTTTGGATCACTTTATTGATTTTTTTTAGTTTCAAAGTTTTTAAAATTTAATTTGAAATTACAGCATGCAGAAGTTATACAAAACTAATTTTCTATCATACTTATATAAAAATATATAAATGACATATTCCACTTTAGGAAGTTTTCAAGAAAAGGAAGGATTCCGAGTTTCACTTTGCCAGCGCTTTAATGTGCAACATTTTATTAACATTGATGTACATCCCAAGGGATATGAAACTGAATTGTGAAATTTTTTAAAAGACATTAATATGATGCACAAATCCAAATTTGTTAACTTGTTTTTTGTAGTTTTGTGGAATATGCCAATTTTCAATCACATTCTTCATTTAATAATATACAGTAATAATTAAAGTTACTATGCTAGTGACTTTAATATGTGACTTTAACTAGTGACTAGTTAATATGCTAGTGAAATTAATTATAATATTTAAAAGGAATTTGTTTTCTCATATCAATTACTAATACCATATTTATTACGTTTTTAGTATGTAATAATGTTACCTCAAGATGCAACAGTAGAGGATTTGAAAGAGAAAGTTTCTCACAGAACAGGAGTTAATCCATCAGATGTAATTTTATGAATTTTTTTAATGTTAACTTTTTATTTTAATATATGACTTTAAATTATGTCACATAAAATTTATGCGTAAAGTTGTAACTAAAATTATAACTTTTTAGAATTATATTTTACAGATTTAATATAATTTATACCATAAAAACAGTTATACCCATATTAACCTGAATGTCAGTCAGTCTCCAATTTTGGAATGCTTACTTTTTGGAAAAAGATTAGGACCTGAATATAGTCAATCTTTCATTATTAATTTTACTTGCATACAAAAAATTTAGCAATTGCATTAAAAAAAATTTGGAAATTCATTGAAACGATACTACTACACTTTCATCTTCATCAGAACTTTCATTGTCATCATCCCTGCCTCCTAATCCATTGCAGTCACACTCTTCAAATGTGCAATCCACTCAATATCTTTGTGCCTAGACATCAATTGTCCCAGCAACATTTTTCTTAAAACCTGTAGTGATCTTCAAGCTCTGTGAGTCATATCTCTGTCCTGTTGAAACCATGCATTAATTAAATCAAGTTATTTGAGCTCTGACTTTAGAAAGTTTTTTGGTAGGTTTACATAATGGTTAGCAGTCACTGTTACCATTATGCCTTCCTTCTTTTAGAACTAAGGACCCATGATATCAAAATTGGTGACAGTGCACAACACAGTAAGATGTTCACTGTGCAGTGGTTTTTAACCCCTTAACTCAGGCTTTTCTTGAAAGAAATGTACAATAACAGAAAGCTTTGCTATAAGATGTGCCATAACACATGCTTTGCTTGACAGAAACCATCCAAAAAAAGTAGTTATATTTTATCTATGAAAATTGTTATTGGAATATAATTGTGTAGAGTACATACATGTATGAGGCAAAACAAGAAAGGTGTTAAACAAAAACAAAGTTTATTACCTCAAGTTATACTGTTTATGGAAAATGTAGGCACAATAAATGATCGTTTTATTCCAAACTTTTTTCTAACACATAATTGTGAAATAAAATATATAAGCATACTATTAGTAAACTAAACTAAATCTAAACCATTAGTAAGCAAAATATTTTTATATATTTTATTCTTATATCTATAAAAATAAAATATATAAAAATATTTTGCTTACTAATTGAGGACAAATTATTTTGGAAAGTGGTATATTTCAAAAGCACCTAATATTTAACTTTGAACACAGCAACTGTTTTCATGAGAGTGCTCTCAGCATACCATCTTTTTAATTTTATGATTAATAATGACCACATGACAAGAACAGACTAACCGTATATTTATGCTTATTTTTGCTTCAAATGCACAAGCATAATTTTACCTTATTTTACATCAGTACACAATGATTGAAACCAATTGTTGAATTCATATATATTAATATAATGTATGTGAATATGCACAATAAATCTGCTTATGACAAGTTACAAAATTTATTCACATTAGATGCAAATATAAAAAATAAATGTTCTTTTATATAATTATGATATCTTGAGATTATTTTTCATTATTCATGTTTATTTGAACATGTGCATTATATAACATTAAATCTGGCACTGCTTGAGTTATCTTGGTGCCCATGCATGTTTGTCAGTATCCAGGTCTGCACTTTAAGGTTAAAAATAAAATGTTTTATATTTAAGTAAATATTTTTTAATATTATAACTCTCTTAACTTTTGATTAAGTAAGTTCAATTGTTTTAATTTTAAAAATAAAAAGAATATTGTATGAATAAGATATATTTTTTTGATATTTTAAAGTTACGAGTATTTGAAGTATATAAAAACAAATTTCACAAATTTTTTGGAAAAGGCACCAGTTTATCATCAGTTACCTTAAATGATATCATATTTGTGTAAGTATTAATATTACAAAATAATTATATTGAAATAATATATAGTTAAAATAAATGGTTTAATTGTATATATCAATAGTTTTGAAGTTCTTAGCGAAAAATTAGCTGGAGAACCAGTCGTTGAGTTTTCTGTTGTTCAGGTATTTTAATTAATTAAATATTGCTTTTACTATTTATGTTGTACGTATTTAATTTTGATATGGAACTTGCAGCGTATTACTATGCCATGGCCAGTGTTACGTTGTTCTTATTGCAATCGAGATTGTCCACCAGGTGGAACAAAATTGAAACGATGTACAAATTGTTATAGAGCTGGCTATTGTGACCAGTAAGTAATACTTTTTTAATTGAGTAGAGTTTGTTATTATTTTATTTATTTATTGAATTTTTGACAAATATGTAAATATTGAAAAAAGTGAATTTTTTTTTTGTTTTGGTGATTCTTTTATATGTAATTGATTATTCAAATCTTATCACATTATATATATTTTTGAGGCAAAGTTTTAGCAAAATCTCTTCTATATGGCTTAAAGAATTGGGTTAATTTCCAAAATTTGATTGGTCAGTTTTGATTAAACTTTGTCATTTTACATAATATGAGACAAGGAAATTAAAAATTTAAAAAAATTGGGAGTTTGTGAATTTGTTTTTGAGATACAATAAGGTCAAAGTGACAATATCCAAAATTGCTAGCATAAGTATATGCAATTTTTTACTGTGGCAGTCATATCACCAGTGATGATGTCACTTCCACAGTTGCAGCAAATGATCGTTACAGATGTCCCCAAAACGATGTTATTGACTTGCTAGTGCAGGACTGGCCAACACACGGCCCGTCTAATGAATTTATGTGGCCCACGATCAATTTTTCAATATTAGCTATCAAGTCTGAATAGCTCAATGAAAAGTTCTGATGCCTAAAAAAATAAAAGTCAACTCGCACGTTTAGAGTTAACCCTCCATTACAAATCTCATAAGTACACCATAGAATGTTGTTAAAGCATGATAATGTGAAAAATGTATCTGTAATCTGTATCTACAATTTAGTCTCTATGGGGTGACTCCACAATGAGATCTCGCACCACCTCAAAATCTTTGTATGGCAGCCTCTGGTTCGGCCCATGGAAAAAGTTTTCTATCTAATTCGGCCCAGGGGCAAAAACTGTTGGCCACCCCTGTGCTAGTGCTTTGACTTAATTCTTAGTTTGTGTTTGGACCAGGGCTGTGGAGTCAGAGTCGTGGAGTTTTGGTGTTTTGGCTGGAGTCAGAGTCGTCAAAAAATCCACCAACTCTGACTCTCTTTTTACTTATCAACTTGTTATGTATATGAAACGGAGTCGGAGTCGGATGGTAAGGAAGAGTCGGAGTTGGAGTCGGTAGATTTTTACACGACTCTACAGCCCTGGTTTGGACAGAAAATGAACTATGCCTAATGAACTATCCCATTGTGTTGTATTTTTATTTGTTTCAATTTTTTTAGTTAATGTGAATTTATTATAGTTTTTTAATTTACTAATACTAAAATCTTTTCCAATACAATAAAATTTTGTCTGTATTGCAAAATTTTATATTGGAAAAAATTTATTTTACAGATATTTCTATTTTTTTTATCTTTGCAATTTTGTAGTCTGATTGCCTGATAGTCTTTTAGTACATTTTCTTAAGATTTAACTAATATTCAAGTTTATTTATAGCTTAAAGCAGGAATTTTTAGATTTTCATATCATGTTCTGGTATTGGTACTGTTTACATCTTATTACAGTAAAACTTTGTTATTTTGAAACTCAAGAGACCCAAAAAAAAACACAACTTCAAATTATCAGGGTTTGAATTATCTGAATTGAAGGATTTTGTATTGTAATTCTTGAATAAAATTATGACATTATCTTATATAATTTCATCAATTCATTTACAAATGCATTAATATTACAAGTTATTACTTAGTAATTTAAGCTATTTTGAAAAAAAAACAGTCAATTGGCGTGTACTTAATGAAAACATAACCAAATTACATTCAAAGCAAGATCTGAAAATAATATACAAGAGAAGCTTAAGTGCTTCAATAAGAATTAACACAAATTTTATCTTGAGTTTGAGCATGTGGAAATCGTCTGATCTGATGAAAACAAGCTCTATTAATGGCTAAAGCTATAAGTGTGCATTCTATCATGAATACAGACATGTATCTAATGGAATTTGGAATTATTGAAAAATAGATTTTTGCAAAAAATGTCCAAAATAATTAAATGCCAAACAGATTTCTTCCATAAAAATAAATAAAAGTAAAAAAAAATTATTTTTATTAGCAACGTGTACAATGTCTGAATGACCTTAAACAGACTAATAAATTAACAATGTGCAATTGGTAAAAACCAAAAACAAAACTGCCTCTTGCACATGAAAACTTTCCTTATAAATGCATAATATGATGGAAGATTTTGAATTAAATGATATTTTTGCAGGTCACCGGACCGGATTATAACTTTGAATTTCGTTGCACATGTATTTCAAATTATCCAAACTAAAATACAGTGGTGCCTCGTATAACGTACGCCTCAAATAACGGACGCTGCGAATAACAAACTTTCTGTTTGGCTGTTACGTGACTCGAGCAACGGACTGGCTGCGGACAACGGACTTTCCGTTCGGCAGTTACGTGAGGCGACCAATGGACTTTCTACGAACAAGTGCGAATGATGTTTCCACTCTTTTGCCGTTGCCAATGACAATCTGCTATTTTTATAATATATTAGTATTATTAGAATATATTATCAGTATATCTGAAGTACAGAGCTCCCGTTGGGATTAGGCTTGCTCCGTTGTTTATTACGTACATCACCTCAGTGCAGGGTATTTACATTTATTCAAGTGTTGTGCAAATCATGGCTTCTAAAAAAACAGAAAAGTGATTTCAATTGAAACAATGCAAGAAATCATCAGAAGGAGTGAAAGTTGACAAAAACTTCCTTGTCGAATGGGGAGAGGTTCAAGAGTTTACCAACACTCATTATCCAAACAGAGCTGAGGCCAACAGTATCAATGATTTCTACAATGACACCCTTGCTCGTTATTTCCGACAGGTGTTGAAGAAGAGTGAGAAACAGACCATCTTGGACATGTTTTTCAAGAAGCCAGCAGGGAAAAAACAAAGGATGGAACAAGAGGAGTTGACCCTGTAAGCTCCAGTAGCATCTCCTGAATCTGAATCTGATTAAAAAACAATAAAAAAAGATCCGGTGCAATGTGTAAAAAGTCTGTATCTGTATGAATGTGGGAAGAAAGTGTTCCTCCACCTCCTCCTCACAACATCTGACTACCCGGCATAATTGGTGACTGCTCCATTTTCATTTTTTTGTTATGGTACAGTATGGTTATTTTATGCTGCGGAACGAATTATATGTTTTAACATGTATTTCTATGGGAAAATACGTTTCGTATAACGGATTTTTCACTTAACGGACGTGCACCTGGAACGGATTAAGTACGTTATACGAGGCACCACTGTATATGCAAAATCCTATTCTCTTGGCAATGGACTAGGCTTGAGTTTGAATTATCTAATATTAAAATAACTAGGTTTTACTGTATTATTTCTTTTTTTAGAAAATTTATTCTGCTTTGATTTAATGTTAAGTATTTTGTAATTATATAATACTAGCTGCAAGGATCCGCTTCGCTGGGTTTTTATTTGTATGTAATATAGTTTTATATATATATATATAAAAGACTGTTTTTCTAAGTAATCTAGAATCTATCTGCAAGGACCTGCTTCGCTGGGCAAAAAGTAACTATAGTGAAGGTTATGATAATTACATTATAGCCAATCTTACCCGTTTTCACAGAATGCAAGAATTAGGTCCCCCGTTTCCAGACTAATTAGAGAATTTTTACGTTTAGTCAAACGAACTATTTTCAACGTTTTTGGAACGTTTACAATCGTTCTATAATCGAACCAATATTCGAATTTTATGTTCGAATTTAATTCGAACAAATTCGAACAAAACATTTGAAATAGAAAGCCACTTTCAACCACTTTCAGCCTCATATCTCCCGCACCCTTATAGCTATCGAGATGCAACCACCCCTATGCACGAATGGAGACTTGGGGCTACCACCACATACAAATACCATTCACGTGCGATGTGTAGTTTTTGCGGAAAAGTGAAATATAGGGACATACATGTCCATTTTTATATATATATATAGATTTAAATCATTATTTATTCTTTTTACATTCCACATTCTTCATATTTTAGTAATAAATGTAAATATTATTTATTGAATGAAAGAATAAACATAAGGTTGTAAAATTGTATATAGAAAAATTTGAATAAAAGGACAGTTTCTGTAAGAGACTTTTCTTCATATGTATAACATTTTTTGAATCTTTGATTGAGATTTGAAGTTAGAACTGATATTACATTGAAACATATGAATATATGAAATTGCAGATATATCTTTAATGTATTTGTCTTCAATGTTAATTCATAATAAGTGAATAAAATTATTTGTATCATTTTACAATTGTGTAAAGATAAATATAGGAAAATTAAATTTTGTTAAATGTTGATATAATCTTATTTTTAAAAGTAATTTTTTTTTTCTTTTCTCTTCTTAGTTTTATTGGATTGTTCGGAAGTAATTTTGTTTTTTACCACTAGACGAATTAGTCGTATTTTTTCCGCCATTTTCATTCTAAATTGTTTTATCATTATATATTTTGACAGCTAGCATTTTAAGGCTTATTTGTAAAAAATTTTGTGTGATTTTGTGCAATTGTTTTTTTTTTTTTGTATCCCATCAAATATGGAAGATCAAAAGCAGCATTTTCAGCATATTTTGCTCTTTAAGAATGCTGTTCAAGTGAAAAAAAAATTGTGTGCATGGAGAAGATGTATTGACAGAACGACAGTGCCAAAACTGGTTTACAAAATTTCGTTCTGGCAATTTCAATATTGAAGATGCCCCACATTCTGGATGACCAGTTGAAGCCAATGAAAACAAAATAAATGTACTGATTGAAGCAAACTGCCGAATAACAACATGTGAAATCACTAAGATATTAAATTTGTCGATTGAACTGTTTATGATTACTTGAAACAAATTAGTTTTGTTTCAAAACTCGATATATGGGTTCCACATGTTCTTAAAGAGAGATGCTCTCTTTGGTGGAATTTTAAGGAATTTTTTTTTTGGGGCTTTTACCAGACAATTTAACAATTTATTTGAAAGTGTACTGCCATCGAGTAAACAAATTGAGTAATATCATCAAACAGAAAAGGCGGCCAGAATTGATCAACAAAACAGGTGTAGTTACCACGATAATGTCAAATTTCACACAAATTTGGTAACTCGTCAGAAACTGTTATAACTTAGATGGGACAAGCTATCACAACAACCATATTCGTCAGATTGAGCGCATTATTACTTGTTCCAGTCTATACAAATTTTTTTTAACTGTAAGACATTTACTTGAAATGACAATGTCAAAAATCACTTGGATCAGTTTTTTTGTAAGCAATGATCAAAACTTTTATGAATGTGAAATCATGCTACTACCAGAAATGATGACAACAGGTATTTGACCAAAATGGTCGATATATAATTCAATAAAATATTTATTTATTATAAAAATATTGTGGAAAAAAAACGAAATTACTTTCCGAATAACCCAATACTTTAACAAAAATGAAAAATATATACATTTATTTTATAAATATAAAAATTTCATTTTCTGTAGAAACAGTTTGATGAATTCTTATGAAAAAATTTACTATAAAATATACAGTGAAACCTCACTTAACAAACACCTCTCATAACAAGTAATTCACATAACAAACAAAACCAATTGTAAAAAAATTTCTTGCTTAACAAGTGACGTTTTGCATAACAAGTGGCGAGGAGAGGAGAAGTCCCAGATTATGCACATGCTATTAGCTCATCAAGGGTGAAATTTGTAAGTAATAATATTGCCAACCATTGAGTCTGACCCATCTCAGAGTGCCTATGAATTACTGTATTAGCCTGAATATAATGCGATATTTTTCGACCATTTATATTCCGTTAAAAAATCGACTCGCACTAAATTTGTGGTTTAAGTAATGGAATGTAATATAAACAAGGATGTTTTCCTACAGAGGTTGAAATGCAACTGAATGTCCGACCAATTCCTAGCTCAACTGACCACTTCAAAACAACCATGTGATCTAGTTAGTAGGCCTGTGCTTTTGTTTGCATAGCATTACTATAGTAAGGCTATGTCTCAGCTTGTTAACGTCTCACGCAACTGTTTTGTTTCATTTGTTTTTTTGCTGTAGTGACTAGCAATGGTTACTTTACTTTTTTCATTATTGCCCATAAAAAATGAGTGCGGGTAATAAAGGTAGTGTTGAGAAAAAAGGCTCATCAGAGTCAAATAAATAAAGGTACCAGGAGAACCTACGATATGAATTTTAAAATTATGGTTGCAAATGAGGCAGAAAGAATGAACAACTTATTATTATTATACTTTTACAGCATTATAGCATTATATTATACTTTTACAAATGTAAAAGTAAAGTAGATTTTTTTTATAAAAATCTACTTTACTTTTAAGTAGGTTTACTTTTAAGTAGATTTTTTTACTTTTTACTGTAAAGTAGATTTTTTTTTTATAAAAATCTACTTTACAGTAAAAAGTATAAAATCTAAAGTAAAGTAAAAAAGTTAAGTAAATCTAAAGTAAAATGTAAAGTAGATTTTTTTTTTATAAAAATCTACTTTACAGTAAAACTTTACAGTAAAAAGTAAAAAAATTCTGTAAAGTAGATTTTTTTTATAAAAATCTACAGAAAGATAACTTATCCAGTAGATATTTCACAAATTGTGTAGTAGGATTTTACTATTTGTAAAAATACAAGAAACAAAATTATTTCATTGAAAATTGCTGATGAATTTTAAATATTACAATTTAAACATCAATAAAACTTCTAAATATTGCAATTAAATCAGTAGAAATTTCAAATTATTCAATAAATATAATATTTAGATAAAAATTTGTATAAAAATAAGATAATTTATGTTACTTGTTAATTAATTATGTTTTCTTTTGTCTATTTGAATATAATTAGGATTTTAATTTAATCCACATTTCAAATTCATATATTCAATACATACAATTATGAAATTTAATAACTTGTAATTTGAGATTTGTGAGATTTTTAGATATTTAGAAATATTTTCATGTGTTAAGTTTGTCAAATTATTTTTTACTTCAAGATATATAATGAATTATTCTATACGAGATTTATAATGATAAGTTTATGCATTGAACTGAAAGCATTAAATTGTTAAATTATTTTGTATAAAAATTTATATAGATATAATATTATAAATCTTATGTTTAATAGTAATAATGAGTGATTGGTTAATTACAAGAAATTTTTTTTTAACTTTCATGCTGAAATAAATAATTTTTTATAACAATTTTAAAGAACTTGCCAGAAATATCATTGGGTACAACATAAAAGTCATTGCAAGTTAACACCTGAATTTGTTGGCTGTCCTTTTATTATAAGTCTACCTAAATCTAAAGCAACTTTTTCAAAGATCTGTCAACAAATGGAAGCATTTTCAAGGTAAATTTTATTTTCATTTATATTTCTAATTTAATAATTTAAATTAAAGAATTAACTTTTAAAATTTCTTCAGTTTAACATAATAGTTTAATTAACTCTAATTTGATACAATCTGTATGATAATTTTAAAAAGTGGTATATTGATGATGATAACATATTTATATATTATTTATAGTGACATTGTCGCAATGCTGGGCTGCAATTTTTAATCATATGTTTTAAATTTAAAATATATGCTTTCCACTTCAAATTAGTCGTGTCTTGTTCTCCTGTACATTATACTTTTCCTGTTAGCAACAGTGTCGTGCTATTATCTAACTCCTTTTAGGGGAAAATTTTTGAATTGAAATAATGTGACTTTCAGTTTGCATCAGAAGTTCATATGTAGTTATTTGGAGCCTCCTTTTCCTAATCTTTCCATATCTGGTCTCGACTTTCATCTGTCTAACTTCGATCTCAAGATTAAGGACTAACAGAGAGACGACAGTGGGAATTTATAGGTCTACAATTTTTTCAAATTGCAGCCCAATAAAATGAATTACATATAGGTGAAATTTCACTCAAATAATAATTGAAATAAAATAATATTTTTAAAAAATATCAAATCGTAATGTGCTTTGATAATAATCATCACTGTTTTTAAATTCTTCCTAAATTGTGTTTGAATATATTGGATATTTATTTTCCAGTTTTATGCATTTAAATATTGTTCTTATAAAATTGTCAATGCTTTTTGGATAATAGATATTTAACTTCAATTGATTTTGGTGAAAAATTAAAAGGTTTGGGGATTTCATTTGAATTCTCTCAATGGTTTCTTTCAATTCTGCATCTAGGTGGTAGATTTAGCATTAAGGCCAACCAACTTTATCGGCTGGGGCTTTGGATTAATGGTGACAATAGTGGCAGCTTTCCTCATGGCAAGGCCCTTGTCCTGGGCTTTGCAAATAAAACTCTTAGACATCAACATCAAATGTTCAAATTTACTCTTCTTTTTGTTGGTAGGTTTGTTGAGAAATCCATTAATTGGCACTAAGTAACAAATTGGACAGTCAGAATCACAATTTGGTATTATCATGGAGTAACAGCAAAATAAAAAGAGATTGGCACTAAAATTTGGTAGATGGCACTGTGGTCAATATTGACAAAAGTAATTTATTTAAAAGACTTTTATTGTCTTTTTCACTGTTGGAAAGTACATGCATTTATTTTACTAATACATGATTCTTTTTATTATAGATTCTACAAAATTAAAATGGTTTAGTTCAAAAATAAAAATTATTCTTAATTTTATTTTATTATATAAATAGAATAAGTATTAGTTTAAGTATTTTAATTTATAAATGTTAAAAAATAATGCAAAAAGTCTTTTAATTAAAGAAAGCAGGAATTTACAGTAGGGAGTGAGCAAGAGGTATTCTAACAGTAAAAAAAAAAAACTAAACCATTAGATGGTGCACAAGCACCCAACATGTTTGTTCCAAAGACTTAAAATTGTATGTTTGCCACTCTGCCACATCTGAACTATTGCACCTTTCTCAAATCTCTTTTCAGTGGCATTATCTATAGGGTAAGAGGTTTAATTTGATACTTGAACCATATTTTTAGTCCCAGCCTTTTACTCAAAGTAAGTCTTACAGATTCAAACTCTCTTTCAATTAATTTCTCAATTTTCACCTTACAATGATTATAACACTGATAAAACTGGTCTTTATTTCTGTGATATACCTGAATATAATTACAGTACTTATTCAAAAAAAAATGAGCAAGAGACTAAGATTTCCAAAGACCATATGTGTTGTGTAAGTATGGTGAGAGTGGAGGACAACTTAGTGATTAGAACAGCAAAAACCCTTGATGTTTTAAGAAGGTGAGAGCATTAGCAGTTGCTTATTATTCTAATAGCAATGACTGGTTGCTGGAGTGGGACCAAAACTTAAGCATAAAATCCTTCTATTTGTTGACAATTACACCATATCAAGTGACAAGCACTTTAACTCACATAAAAAAAAATCACACACTTGCCACTCAATACACATTACTCATTCAATTTTGTGATTAGGGCATAATTGGAACTATGAAAGCATATTATTCCTTCAAATGCATGGTTGACTTCTGAAGTTTATGAAGGTTCTGATGGTTGAATCCAAGACATTGAAATTATGAAAATGAATGCAGAAGCGCTGTCTAAAAAGGCCAATCTTTTAGATGCTCTTCACCTTCTTAAATGAAGCTGGAATGAAGTTAAACTAACCTCAATTTTCAACCGTTTTACTAAATTTACTAAAGCTGCAAATGAAGATGTAGCTGAAAAAGAAATGAAGGAAAACAATAATGATTTTAAGTCCTGACAATGTCAAGTGTCTGATTTTAATGTTTGGATGAAAATTTATGAAGGCATCTGCACTGAAGAACTTCTTACAGAAGAAGAAATCTGTTCTGCTGTAATGGAGAAGGGACTACAATGATAATAGTGATCTGGCTATGAAAGTTTTGAGGTCAACATAACTAACCTCCAATAACTATCGTAATGTGGCAAATGCTGGAGGTCTTATGACACAAAGTACATTATCAATCAAACGTATGATGTTCATATGAATGCTTTATTAGTGATATATTATGTTGACATTACAGACATTCAAAATAAATGAATTTTTTACTATCACTTGATACTATACAGGAAATGTTTTTCATTTTCTACCTTTATATATAGTCATCATCGATTATTATGATTACTTTGACTTGATTCTGACTTGATCAAAATAAGGTTGTCCACTGCATTTCTTAATTCAACAGAAAGGTTGTAAAATACAAAAATGAAAATCAGTTTTATTTAAAATTAATTTATCTTATATTTCTTATATATTTATATGATATTATTTATCTTATAAATTTTAATTTATATATGTTATATTAATTATGTTATTATTTCTAAAAAAATAAATAGGTTTTATATGAAAATGCAATGAAACATTACAGTAAAAATTTGTTTGAAATATATTTTATATGATTATTGTAAAAAAATTAAAAAAAAAAGATTTTAAGTTGAATAACCTCATTAAAAAAAATTTGAATAACCTCATATTGCAATTAACAAATCATGTATCTCTTATGTTATGTATTTGTAAAGAACTTCTTTTATTTTAAAAACAAATTGTGAATAATATATATTTTTGACATTTAGGTATTCTGTTGATGTATTTCAACCACCATTGCAATTACCTGCTTCTAATAAAGGAAGTTCAACTTGTACATCAACCACTTCCTTAAGTGAACAATCTAGTAATATGAAAAAATCTGACTATGGTAGTTTAGATTCTGGATTGTCGACTTTGAATCGTAGTAGTTGTATTTTTTCTTCAACTAATGAATTATCTCTTAATGAAAGTGATAATATTACACAAGAATCTGATTCTGTTCTTAGTTCTGATGATTTAACAATCTGTGCAACAAGAGATGAAGAAAGCACTCCTCATAAAGAATCAACAGTTTCTATTGATACTGTTAATTCGACAGGCTTTATGAATTTTGAAAGATATGAAATTGGAAATAATGAAGATTCAATAGAAAAAGAGGTTAGCTATTTTTATTTTATATTTAAATCAGTTTGTTTCTAGAATTAAGGATGTTTATTATTTAAGTAAAGCATTTTTCTTCAATATATTTTTTCATAAAATGAAGAAAAAAAATCTGTTAAATTTCTATGTATATCCTGTCTACATGGACCTTGTTTATTAATAGGACTTATTATATTGGTGTAGTTTCTGATTAGCAAATAGAGAAGAACTTAATCTAAAGTCAAAACAAAATATCTTTATTTTTACTTGGTGAAATAAAAATATTTTGTTTTGACTTTTGACTAAGTTCTCTATTAGCTAATTGGAAACTACACCAATATAGTAAATTCTATTAATCAATCAATCAATCAATCAATCAACATTTATTTGCTATGGCTTTCGCCTTTGCAAAGGGGTTACAAAATCGTGTAGCGTTAATAATACAAAGATTGTTATACATGGTTTCAAAAAGAACAACAACACAAACAATAAATGATAATAACAATAAAGCTTAATTAATAATGAGTTATGTTAGCATATTTAATAAATAACAGAAAAATTTATAAACTTTAAATAACATATCAGAACTTAAATTGTCGTCATATAAGCAAAACATATCAAAATCGGTTGTCAATAAAGTATCTCTTAAATGCTCGGTAATTTCGCAAGATACAAATAAATGGTTTTTAATACTTTCACAAAGTCTATTACATAATGGACAGTTAGAATGGGCAGATATATTCATTCTGCGCCTATTTAATACAATAGTATAGTCGTTGAGACGTAACTGAATTATTAAAGATTTAATATTATATTTTAAATTTGATAATAAATAATATCGAGGTGTCCATGGAGATACAAAGGAAGTCTCAAGAAACCTACACTTTTGCTCAATATAATGAATGTCTTGGGTCCAATATTTATCCCTTAATGACTGAGACATTTCAGCCAGAAAAAGTTTTTTATCAGAAATTTGAGCATAATAATCAGTAGAGTAACCTAAATCATTCAATAAGCCTTCAACTGACGAGGACCAAGTTTTAAACGAAGAATTTCCATCTATTAATTTCAACTTGTTATAGATCAACTTTCTAGGATCATAGTCTGGTAACTCCAAAATTTTACTCCAATATCTAAAAATGATCATTGTTAAACGTATAGCCATTGGTGGACGACCCAGTTCAAATCTTAAGACAGGTCCAGGCACCGAACGATTAATATGAAATATCGATCTAATAAATCTCAATTGCGTCTTCTCCAATTTATCAACGAAAGATGATCCCCAAATAGGGAACATATAGCCTATACTTGAACGTATCAAGGAATCAAACAATCGGTAATACGACTTAATGGAAGACTGTTTCATTCTTACCATAAGCTTTATTAAATTAGAAAGCTGAAGTTTATATTTCAAAAACAGTTTGTCTAGGTGAAAAGAAAATGAACCCTGTGGAGTAAAATAAATACCCAGATATTTATAGGACGAAACAATCTCCAACTCAGAGTTAGATAAATAGAATTTATCAGCCTTTCCCAGTCTACCTCCTCTCCGAAAAACCATTACTTTAGATTTAATCTCATTAATAAATAGTTTATTAGATTTACAGTAGTCTTGTAGAAGATCAAGTTTTTTCTGAAGACCAATAGGTGAATACGAAAATATTACAATATCATCAGCAAACAAAAGACAATTCAATTCTATCTCCGATGATATGGATATACCCATAGTGTTATGATTACAAAAAAATTCCGGAAGATCGTTAACAAATAAATTAAATAAAATAGGACTAAGTGGTTCACCCTGTGGAAGACCTTTATTAGCAGTTACCGTCTCCGAAAAACAACGATTAACTTCAATTTGATAAGTGGTGTTCGAAAACAATTGTCTTATAAGATTAATAAAAGATGATGATATACCTATCCGAGAAAGCTTCGACCATAAAATATCATGGTCTATTGCATCAAACGCCTTTGACAAATCAATAAATCCAACGTATAGTTTCCTCCGCTTCTTAGTCAAAATTAATTGCAAAATTCCAAGAAATATAAATAAATTATAGCCAACACCTCTATTCACTACAAAAGCACCTTGACCGATAGAAATAGTATGAGACCGCTCAAGCCAGAGTCGCAAACGATTAGCCAATAACGTAGAAAAAATTTTTCTAATTACACTAATTAACGATATCGGACGATAATTCAAAGGATCAAACCGATTACCCTTCTTATATATCATTTTTAAACAAACATTTTTCCAAGTAATAGGAAAAGAGTAATTAGTTTTAAAATTATTAAATAAAGATAGCAAATCATTTAAAATATTAATCGGAAGGAATTTAATCATCTCAGCCTTTACAGCATCTAATCCAGGGGCTTTGTTATTTTTTAGAGATTTTACTACAAATTGTAATTCATCAAATGAAAAATTTTCATCGAGTAATGGATCCGTATTATCATTAGTACAAATAGATAGTACAGCTAAAGATGGCCCAGAAAAAAAAGTTTTCAAATAAACCGACCAATCAGAAATAGAAATGTTATTATACACAACTTTGCCGTTTCTAAATTTATTAACAATTTTCCAAAATTCAGCAGAGTTTTTAATATATGATAATTGAAAATTAATCTTATTCCAAAATAGTTTCTTTTTGGCTTTACAGAGAGATTTAAAAGTTTTTTCCAAATTAGAATAAATAATAAATTGTTGTTTACTTCTTGATCGCCGAAATAAACGTAGAGCACGATTCTTCTCTCTCTTCAATCGTAGGCAATCAATATCAAACCAAGACTTTACAAATTTTCTTGAGCAGTCATATTTGACATACATATTACTTTGAATTACAGACTCAAGAATCGCGTCAACAAAAGACGAATAAAAAGAAAAAGAATCCAGAAAAAATCCGCCTTTAATTTCTGCATATCGCTGAGTGACACTATACAAATACTTGTCCAAACATGAAGATCTCCACACATAACGACATATTTCAGTAGGCAATTCATTGCTGAAAGGAAGAGAATCAAACCTGAACTCAATGGAAATAGGAAGATGATCAGAATCAAATTTATTCAAAACTTTAAAGTCGACCAAGTTATCAACTAATTCAGGATTTGTAGCTATCAAATCAATAACTGATGCACCCAAAGAGGAAATAAATGTAAAATTAGCAGGGAAATCAGTAACGAATCGACCATTCAATAAAATCATACCATAAGATTTGATCAAGTTCAAAAATCCTTTTCCTCTATAGTTAAAAATCTTATCTTTAGATTTTCTAGTATTATAAAAATTTCTATTAGAACCTAAATATAGTGTATCTAATTCGGAAGCAATTCTAGCGTTGGAATCACCGAGAATCAAAATATCATCAACATCTTTAAGATCCAGAATCAGTCTATCAAGATACTCAATCAATGAATCGTATTTATGAATAGATATATAAACCAGAACAATTAAGAGCCCAGGACGATCTCTAAACAGATGTTTATCAAATGTAAGTTTAGCTATAATAAAGTTATCAGAGAGATGACAAATTTCTAACTCACCAAGTTTCCGAGACACCACTAAAAACAAACCTCCAGATGGTCTTCCAGGTCCCTCAAGTTTATGAGCTAACATTTCAATGAAATAGAATTGAGAGTCCAGTGATGAAAGAAGGGTTTTCAACGAAAATATCATCCATGTTTCAGTTATGCCAACAATATGATATGATAATATAAAATCAACAAAACTTTTGTCAGAAAAGTTAGCAAACAATGAACCCTGACTGTTCCATGATAATATCTTTAACATATAGAAACCCTCTGAATAAGGAATAACAGTTGAATTTTTTAATTCTCGTCCATTCGACGATCCGACGATTTCCCTAGTGATAAAAAAGGTTCAATCTTCATCAGCTTATTACTTAATAAATCAAACGTAAAGTTTTCTCCATTAATTGTTAGGCAATCAGCTCTCATAAACGCATCTTTTCCGGTCTTCTTAGCCTCTTGATAAAAAGGAAAAAGATTTTTCCTCCTAATCCTCGATCTCCAGTGCAGATCATCAAAAAACTTTACCTTAGAACATCCTTCCCTTTTCTGAATATTGTGAACATTCCGGTAGATAAGTTTTTTATCGGAGACAGTATCAAGTTTTGCCACCACCAAATTATTTTTTGAAATTATTTTAAGATCTTTCACCAGAATTGAATCACCACTAGGTCTTTTAATAGACGACAAAATGTCGGAAGCCAAAGACACAACTTCAGACGAGTTTCCATCTAATCCAGCAATAACAATATTATTTCTCTGCTGTTCATTTATCGATGAATCTAAGAGATATAAAAAATAGGAGGTCGAAGCAGTATATGAGGTATTTAAGTTAGAAATTTCCTCTACCTTTTTTTCTACATTAAGGAGACGTTGTTCAAAATCTTTATGCAAATTTGCCAGCCATTCAAATTTAGTAGATAAATCTTCAAGTTTAGTCAAGATGGTATCAAATTTTTCCTCTAAAAAAGAAAATAAATTTTGGGGTACATTTGGAGAAGGAGTCAAAGGAGGAAAAAAAGATTCCAGTCGCTGAGATTTCAGAGTCGGTTCACTAGGAGATCTTTGACGTTTTCCAACAGCAGAAATGGACGACTTTGAAAGAGGGGAGGAAGGTGGAGTGCGAGACATCGGTCCAGGGTTAGACTCAATACCTCCAATTATTAATAAAACACGTAATAATAAATATATATCAAAAACTTTAGTGAAACCAAAGTAAAGAATCACACTCTTTGTAGAAACAAACATATCCAAAGCGCTATACTTCGAAAAAAAAAAACAGCTCTCACAAAAACTCACCAACACTGACGAACGTCACAAGCGCCCCCCCAAATTCTATTAATAAATAACGTCCAAATAGACAGGATATACACAGAAATTTACAAGAATAAGGACACAGAGGTAAAAAGAATGAACAACCAACTTCATATAGTTGGATTATGTCAAATAAACACAAAATGCGAACAGTTTGATGTCTTGTGTCTAATATGATTTGTTTATTTGAAAATCAGTTTTCACTCAACATGACAGTCTATCTGCTAAAATTAACCAGATAGACTGTCATGTTGTTCTAAGATCAATAATTAGAAATTAAATCATTTTATTTTATTTATTTTAAATGCATTTACTTACTTTGTAACATGCAATAGCTTATGTTATTTCTTCTCATTCTTAATAAGAAAAGTTTGATCAAATAAATTATTTGTTTTATGTTTTATGATAAATTAGAAGATAGACTAGTTTTTAAAAACATTTAAACTAATGTGTAATAATAAGTTTAGGAAAGTTAATAACTAACTTGAAAATTGATAGATAGAGTGATGATATGCCTAAAAATAGATTTTTTTAAAAAAGTTTTTATTCATTAAATATAAGTTTAACTTATTCTTAATGAATTAGAAATTAAAATTAAATACTTAAAGTATTTAATTTTAGCTTAAATTATTGAAACTAGGTAGAAATATATGAACTTACACTACTGTATACTTAAATACTCTGATTGCTTTACTATTTTTAAACTACAGCTTATTAATAAATATGTTTTTAATATATCATTAAAACGGTTAACATTTACTATTATTTTTGTTCATTCTTAGTTATTTTAATAAATTATGAAGTCTAAAAAGTTGATAATTATATAAAAATTGAAAAGTTAAACAGAAGTTAATGCTTTACAAAATCTGTTTAAATATTTTTAGTTTTCATAATGCAATTGTTATATAAACTAATTTTTTAAATAAAATTCTATTATTAATATTCCATATTTCATATTTTTCTTTTATTTTTTAAGTACTATTGATGTTATGTAGAATATATATACAGGGTGTTTGGAAAGTCGCTGTGCACTTTTCTAATCATATTTAGCATTATTTCCAGACATGTGACCCTCACGTTCATCAGATCTAGATCTACAATAAATCCACCAGATTTTTATCTATGGGAAGCAACAAAATCTGCAGTGTATCGCAATCATCTGTGCATGCTGGGACTTGAAAGCAGCAATAACAGCATTCATTCAGTATTTCAAGTGAGCAATTGATAGTGATGTTTATAAAAAATAAGAAGGATCCAAGCCTGTATTGATGCTAACAGTTGTCCTTCAACATTGTTTATAATTGTCATTCATATTTACCTCCTGTATTCTACTTTGAAACATGTCTTTTAATAAATATATAAGTACACAGAGACTTTCTGAACACCCTGTATGTGTGTATGTAAATTAATTTTTTTTTGTATATGGAAGATTTTGGTAAATAAATCTTTATTTAATTTCTTTTAGAAAGAAATAGATGATGAAAAGGATCACGTCTCTGAATTTTCTAAAGATGATGATAACAGTTTAAATAATATAAGTAATGTTTCAGAATTAGAATCAAAAAATGAACCACTCATAAGAGTAGTTTTTGGTAAACAGCAAGATAATATTAGTACAACACCTCCCTTATTTAATATTCATCCAGTTAATCAGTTTGGTCAAACATTAGCTGGTGCAGATGGTGAAAGATTTAGAGATAAAGGTAAATTATTATTTTATTAAGATAATTCTACTTATTTGATTATTAATACAAGATGATATATTAAAAATGAAATGAACTTTTTTACTTTATAGGAGAAGAACCACTTGATATTTCAGGATATGATTACTTAGCAATGGATTGGAAAAATAATGAAAAAAAGCAAAGTTATGTACTTGTGCAATCAAAAGAATTGGTAAGAAATATTTTCAATGCTAAAATATTTATAAACTTTTAAACATATGAAATTTAGTTAAGTTGGTGAATTTGATCATTACATATTACTATGGTGAATAATCTATGAGTAATAGTAAAAATTCAATACAAAATTAACATGGCTTATTTGATATTAAATACTATATTGTTTGATTTCATATTAGAAGTTACTTTATATTTCATCATATGAAATTAAGTTTAAAAAACTCAGCAATGAGTTGCTTAACTTTCTCAGAAACATTTTATGGCACATCTGTTAACATTTTGTGGCACCATCTGTTATGATATTTTATTTAAAAAACTTTTTATATTTTTAATTATTATAAAGTAGCAAAAAGCTTAATTTCGAGGCTAGCAATGGATTTTATAAAAAATTGTAAATGTCAATAACAAGTAAAATTGTCATTTAAGTCCAATCCTATTTCTCTTTATCTCTTCACCCCTTCAATCTTTAACCACAAAAATTTAATAGCATCAATCTCTCTAATACACAAACAATTTCTTGAAAAATTCCAGAAATTTTTGACAAAAAGCACAGTAGTTATTAAGCTTCAAAGAGGGTGAACAAAATTATGCCCCACATCCACACACTCTAATGTCCATACATACAGAAAAACACCTCTGAATTTATTTGCATTTCTTGATGTATCAAGGTTCTGAGTCCAAAAATTAAAAATCTGTGGGGATCATTTTTTTGACTGATCACCATACTTTATCAGTTTCCTGGCTCTGTTATATATAACAGAGCTAAGAAAGTAAAAATGAGATTTGTCTGATAAATTTAATTTTACAAACTTGTTGATTTTTTAAAATATACTATTTTCTTATGAAAATATCATACTTTTTCAAAAAGAAAAACAATTTAATCACCAAATAGACAGGATATACACAGAAATTTACAAGAATAAGGACACAGAGGTAAAAAGAATGAACAACCAACTTCATATAGTTGGATTATGTCAAATAAACACAAAATGCGAACAGTTTGATGTCTTGTGTCTAATATGATTTGTTTATTTGAAAATCAGTTTTCACTCAACATGACAGTCTATCTGCTAAAATTAACCAGATAGACTGTCATGTTGTTCTAAGATCAATAATTAGAAATTAAATCATTTTATTTTATTTATTTTAAATGCATTTACTTACTTTGTAACATGCAATAGCTTATGTTATTTCTTCTCATTCTTAATAAGAAAAGTTTGATCAAATAAATTATTTGTTTTATGTTTTATGATAAATTAGAAGATAGACTAGTTTTTAAAAACATTTAAACTAATGTGTAATAATAAGTTTAGGAAAGTTAATAACTAACTTGAAAATTGATAGATAGNATTATTTAAATAAACAATTAATATATTAAGAAAAATAATCACTGTGATTAAATAGAATGCATTTTATTATCAAAACATATAATATATACTCTGCTATTTTTTAGTGTCTAAATCTGTTGTTTCCAATGTAGGGCAATTTGACAATGAGTTATTAACAGTGAATTTGAAAGCTGCTAATTGTTCATAAATTAAGCTAAGAATGTTTTTTAAATTTTCCTCTTTCCATTCATTTTCTTTTCATTGTTTCTTCTGTTTAGATAATCTTTACTCTTTACCTCTACATTGTTACTTGGAGCAAGTTAATTGGCTTGAGATTCCATTGTCCGTCAATAAGTCAGGCAATCTTAGATTAAGGTATAAAAGTATTTAGTATGCACACACAGTTATTATTATTGAAGGGCCTTGATACATAGATGTATGTACTTTTATTATTTGTTTCAAAACTTTATTTGCTATTTTTTTATATCACTTCATATTATTATTATTTTTTAAATCTTCCTTATTCACTTTAATATATTATTCTCCACCTTTATCCTTAAAAATATTTTCTTTTACACACATATATATGAATTCATGTATTATTTGAAGCTGATTTTTCTTTTATTTTTTAAGTACTATTGATGTTATGTAGAATATATATACAGGGTGTTTGGAAAGTCGCTGTGCACTTTTCTAATCATATTTAGCATTATTTCCAGACATGTGACCCTCACGTTCATCAGATCTAGATCTACAATAAATCCACCAGATTTTTATCTATGGGAAGCAACAAAATCTGCAGTGTATCGCAATCATCTGTGCATGCTGGGACTTGAAAGCAGCAATAACAGCATTCATTCAGTATTTCAAGTGAGCAATTGATAGTGATGTTTATAAAAAATAAGAAGGATCCAAGCCTGTATTGATGCTAACAGTTGTCCTTCAACATTGTTTATAATTGTCATTCATATTTACCTCCTGTATTCTACTTTGAAACATGTCTTTTAATAAATATATAAGTACACAGAGACTTTCTGAACACCCTGTATGTGTGTATGTAAATTAATTTTTTTTTGTATATGGAAGATTTTGGTAAATAAATCTTTATTTAATTTCTTTTAGAAAGAAATAGATGATGAAAAGGATCACGTCTCTGAATTTTCTAAAGATGATGATAACAGTTTAAATAATATAAGTAATGTTTCAGAATTAGAATCAAAAAATGAACCACTCATAAGAGTAGTTTTTGGTAAACAGCAAGATAATATTAGTATAACACCTCCCTTATTTAATATTCATCCAGTTAATCAGTTTGGTCAAACATTAGCTGGTGCAGATGGTGAAAGATTTAGAGATAAAGGTAAATTATTATTTTATTAAGATAATTCTACTTATTTGATTATTAATACAAGATGATATATTAAAAATGAAATGAACTTTTTTACTTTATAGGAGAAGAACCACTTGATATTTCAGGATATGATTACTTAGCAATGGATTGGAAAAATAATGAAAAAAAGCAAAGTTATGTACTTGTGCAATCAAAAGAATTGGTAAGAAATATTTTCAATGCTAAAATATTTATAAACTTTTAAACATATGAAATTTAGTTAAGTTGGTGAATTTGATCATTACATATTACTATGGTGAATAATCTATGAGTAATAGTAAAAATTCAATACAAAATTAACATGGCTTATTTGATATTAAATACTATATTGTTTGATTTCATATTAGAAGTTACTTTATATTTCATCATATGAAATTAAGTTTAAAAAACTCAGCAATGAGTTGCTTAACTTTCTCAGAAACATTTTATGGCACATCTGTTAACATTTTGTGGCACCATCTGTTATGATATTTTATTTAAAAAACTTTTTATATTTTTAATTATTATAAAGTAGCAAAAAGCTTAATTTCGAGGCTAGCAATGGATTTTATAAAAAATTGTAAATGTCAATAACAAGTAAAATTGTCATTTAAGTCCAATCCTATTTCTCTTTATCTCTTCACCCCTTCAATCTTTAACCACAAAAATTTAATAGCATCAATCTCTCTAATACACAAACAATTTCTTGAAAAATTCCAGAAATTTTTGACAAAAAGCACAGTAGTTATTAAGCTTCAAAGAGGGTGAACAAAATTATGCCCCACATCCACACACTAATGTCCATACATACAGAAAAACACCTCTGAATTTATTTGCATTTCTTGATGTATCAAGGTTCTGAGTCCAAAAATTAAAAATCTTTGGGGATCATTTTTTTGACTGATCACCATACTTTATCAGTTTCCTGGCTCTGTTATATATAACAGAGCTAAGAAAGTAAAAATGAGATTTGTCTGATAAATTTAATTTTACAAACTTTTATGAAAATATCATACTTTTTCAAAAAGAAAAACATTTAGATCAAATTCATAAATTATTTCAAAAATCTCTTTATAGAAGTTTTAAATTTACAGCTAACTTTCTTAGCCATACTTATGGTGTTTTTTATTCATTGTAATTATTTATTCTTTATTTTTTAAATATTACAAGGCAATGTCATCACAATAATGGAAGTCTTCTTCCTTTTACATGAAAACAACACTTTTTAAAATTTAAATTTAATTAGAAATATTTTGTTATCTAATTTTATTGTAAGAAATTTTTGTAATTAATTAGTAACTTTCCAATTAAAGTTGATAAATACCAGATTAACGATACATTACCAATAAATTGTAAGTAAATAATTATTGAAAGCTTATTAAAATTATTGTTAACAGTATAAAAAATGGTTATAAATAGTTTATTTAGTTAACCCAGTTGAGATAACTTTCTTACTCATGGAAAATAATTAATTAATCAAAAAGGAAGTACGATCACATTATCCATGATATAAATTTACTTTTAATAAAAGTAATTTCATTTTTGACAAGAAAAACTTTATCAGTTAATGTTTGGAACAAAAAATAAAATCAAATGATTGCATTTGAAGATAATTTAAAATAAATTTAAAAAAAACTAAAACGAAACATTTGTAAAACTAGCAATTGATTTGTTTCATCTTATAAAAGCATTTGGAGAACTATATTTCCCTCTGACAAAAAATAGCATAATTCCTTATAGATGCAAGTTTTAATGTAGAAATATTGCATCTATTGTTAGTCTTGACTTCTGCCTTGAATAAAACTTTTTGATGTCTTAGTCTTAGCAATAATTTTATCTTGTCCCACTTTGATTCATAACTGTTTTCTATGATTAGTGTGGCCAGAGCTATTGTTGATCTCTGGCATTTTTCATCCCTTTGGTATTCTGTAATGCACTTAAATAAATTCCTGTGTTGCAGCAATATAAAGTAAGGTTCTGCTTCCCAGTTTTTCTAGTGATATGACATATACTTCTGCTCTCTCCTCTTGTACTGTTTATTGCTATCATTACAATCTACACATAGTATGCTGGATTGTTATCAGTAACTGGCAAGGCATATTTTTTACATAATTTTAATAATTTAGGTGCCATGTTTCCTGCAAAGAATTTTCTATTTGGTTCTAGAGTAGTCAGAGGATATAATTGATGTTTAATAACATTGTTGTTTAAATATTTAAATTTTGATGCAGAAAAACCACTATTGTGTGTAGAATTCCTAATTATTTCTCTCTTGTTGTAATACAGCTCTATACAAACATTGCTAAACCCGGTATATAATATAGCTAAACACCAAGTGAATGCCGAAAATCTATTGGGCTGGTTTAAGGCTAATTACTAAATGATTTGGTTACGTAATTCATTTAGTAATTAGCCTTAAACTAGCCCGATAGATTTTCGGCATTTGGTTGGTGTTTAGCTATACAGCTTTAGGTGAAGAATAAGTGTATGCCCTTTATATATGCAACATGAATGCTGATAAGGAAAATTGGGAGTATGTTGTTTGTGTAGTACACGGACAAATATATTATTGAGGTAAAATATCACTAGATCAAGGAAAGCAACCATCATGCTGTCCTGTGTTTCTAGAAAAATCTTATAGATGGGAAGATGATAATGATATGGCTTAAAAAAGATATTAAAATCAGCCCTTTCATATTTTTATCTTAATATGTCTTCTATGTACTTGTATAAGAATGCAGGATATTAAATGGTAAGGGACTATGAAAAACTATTTCTTCTAATTGTTTCATAACTATTTTGGTCAAGATTGCTAGTAATGATGATCCCATTAGCACTCTCAGTTGTTGTAAGTAAAATTTATCTTTGCATGTAATCTTTTTGGCAAATCTAATAAGGTAAACCCAAGGTAGTTTAGCCACGTTGTTTTTTAACAATATTTCCATAAACTATATAGTTTATGGAAAGTATAGTTCGCTCCAGCATTTTTATAAGTTTAAACAACAACCAATACTATTTTTACAAGTGTTTTATTTTAATTTTTTTAAAATTTAAGTTATCTTATGAACTCCTTTGTTCAATTTTTTTTTGTCTCAAATATTAATTGATGAAGTTTTTCTTGTTGAAAGTGAAAGTACTTTAAAAAAAATTTGTATCGTGGATAATGTGATTTTAATTGCTTTTTGAAAACTAAGACTTGAAATTAGGGTTTCAAGACTAATTCATGGAAAAAATATTAAAGATGCAAATTTTTAAGAAACTTCTTAGTTTTTATTTAATAGAATAATTTTATTATACAAACTATCAATTACTCGTTAATAATTAAAACTGTTGATGTAAAATTTATTATTGGTCTGTAGCAAAGAATCAAATTATGCACTACGTCTAATGATAGAAATTTTTTATATGTTGATATAACACAGATTATATTAAAGTCAAAATTTGAACTATCTGGAAACATTTTAAATTAATTTAAAAATGATTGCTGCAAAATATTTAATAAGTAATAAAATATTATAATATCAAGTGCATACACACATTTTGATGATAATGAAAGTAATAGGTATAAAAATGATTGTATTTGTGATTGGACTGCATTTTTATTATAATTTTTACATGCTAAATTGAATTGCATTAACTCAAAGCTGTCTACAGGTCCCAGGTACAGTAAATAAGGGTTTTTGATTTAATACAGTCTTGTTAAATTGAAATTATTGATACTTTTAACTTAAACTTAGTTTCTACAGGTTACACTATAGGTTTGTGATTTTGATTTACTCTTATATTCCATGTGAATACAGATAATTGAGATAAATAAACTTTATACCACCAAGCAGAGCATAACACCACTCCATTACAACCTTGCATCAACATACTTTTACTGATGCAGTATGTTACTGGCATTCTGATTGGAACACAAGAGGGTGTATTAACAATGCATTCAAAAGTGTTATAAACTGTATATAATTTTTTAATAATTCTGTGAACAGATTCTCAAGAAACAGCGTAGTAATGAAAAATTTACAGACAGAAAAATATGAGAAAATTGGGTATTAAGCTTGTTAACTTGAAGTTGGGATTTTTTTTAATTCTTAAACTTTAAGTTAATGAGGTAATGTCTTATTTTTATTTTGAAATTAAAATAAATATAGTTATTGCAGAAAAATCCACTTTACTTAGGTTTGCTTAAAAAATGTCAATGTTATAATATAATCGAGATGGGTTGATAATGATGATAATATAATAATAATAATAAGTGCAGAGCCCAAACAGTCAGAAGTTGAAAGTTGAAATCTAGTATACAGTTAGGGTACATCAAGAGAATGTACACTAAGAAGATCCAGCTTATTTTTCAAATTTAGTAAACCTGAAAAAGAACCCAGAAAGAGTTACAAAAACATTTATTATTCATCACTTAGTGGTACAATGCACCAGTTAGTGGTTGCAGTGAGTCTTAATTATCATTATCCCAGTGTGGTAAGCAGATATCTAAAAATTTTCTAATTAGTCTCGGAAGAGGGGAACCTAATTCTTGCACATGGTGAAAACGGGTAAGATTGGCTATAATCTAATAATCTTAATCTTTGCTATCATTACTTTTTGTCCGAGCAACACTGGACTCATCTGCTAGTAATATATAGGATTATTTTCAAAACATTTTCATGCTGATTAAAATTCCTTTTAAGTAATGTAAAATATATAATAAAAATTTTTATACATTTTTTTAGCATCAAAATTACAATTTTAATCTTGATTAAATAATTTAGTATTTAATCAAGATTTAAAATAAGTAGATTATTAAAAATAACAGCAATTATTTTTTATTCTTCATATTTATTATAATGTTATACACTCCTCAAAAGTGAAATTGAAACCCACAAAGGATGTGCATACACAGCCACATGCAAATTGCAGGACTAGTAGAGTTGACAAAGATATGCAAGTGATTAAGCTTGTGTATACATTGGGTCATGTGGTACCCAGCTTTGGGCTATAAAGATCAGCAGCCAACTCAGGCCATAAATGCTACCAGCAATAGTTCAAGGATCCAAACTTTTGAAGAAGGGTAAAATATGCCTTGAAGATGACAGTGAGCTGAATACCACAAGTTAATGGCTGGGAAACAAGAACATATCCTAGAACTGCACAACCTCAGTTTGTTGATGTGTGCAATTGCCAAATGTG